CAAGGGCGGCCAGCGCGCGCGCGGGGGCTCAGCGCACCAGGAACCTGCGGGGCCACAGACGTTAGCGCACCGGCCCCAGGGGGACCACCGCCCGACGAGAGGACCTGCTGGGGGGCCCCAGCTCCCACCCAGCTCCCAGTGCCCCGGTAACTCCATAGCTGCCATCTCTACTTATTCGTTGTCCTCGCCTTAAATTTGAGATTAAAAATATTTATTTGCGCTCATCTTTTGCTCACAACTTAGAAAAAATTAAATGGTAGTGAAGGGAAACTGGCCGGAAAACGGAATTCCGAGGGGTAGCAGAAATGTTCTTTACTCTGATTGTGGTGGCAATTAACTGGGACGTAAACACCTGTTATCATAATCGTGTGTTTTATATCCCAAAAAAGTTTATTTAACATTAAATCTTCACTTCATTCTTTTGGTGGCAGGTCTCTTAAATTTCTGACACTCAAGATATTTTTTATGGTGCTTTTGTGGGTTGACAGCCTACATATAGCATTCTGAAAACTAAGAACTCCCCTCCAAAAAAATCTTATGCAACACTTTGTCTTTCAAAAAAAAAATTAAAATAAGCAACTTTTCAGAATGCTGCAGGTAAGAACAGGACCTTTCGCTTTCATTTACCATCTAGTTTTGCAGGGTCCTAGTGGCATTTTGCGGTAAGTACACTGCTAACCTAAAGCTTACTGATTCGAATCCACCAGGAGCTGGACTTGAATCTCCAATAGAAGGCCATTATGCAGTGGTAGGCCACTATGAATAAGAACAGATTCAGTAGCCACTAGAGATGGGATTTACCTTAAAAATGTGTGTCCAGACTGCATTCTTTTCTCTGGAGAAGCTAAACTAGTTCTAGTAGTTCCTGGGAGACCTGGGGCCTTTCATTGCTGGGGTCTTCTGGGGTCTGCCTGTAGTCACCCCAGGGATCAGTGAGTTGAGGGAAAGCCAGACATGTCTCAATCCACCAGTTAGCTCCTGCTTGCACCAATCATCAGGAAAACTTTCTTTCCTATCAGCCAAATACATAAACAGAAGAAAGGTTAATACAATTCCGAGGAACCGAGAGCAGAGCTACAAGATGAAAGATTCCAGATACTGTGACCTACGAATAACCCGCATGAAAGTATCAAATGCAACATCAATTCCCTATGAATCATGCTTCCAAATAACCGTTAAAGGGCCTCCAGGCAAAAAAACAAAAACACGCACAAAATTATGGCTGTTTCCCGCCGTAACGTTCCCTGCTGTAAAGAACTAACGACTGAAGTTCAAATTTGCCACCATCATTTACTTGTTGTCTGACCTTTTACAAATTCTGTGAACCCTAGGGTTCATTTCCTGCTTACGACGTCAGGATACCGACCTGGTAGGTCTGCGTCCCGCGGGCTCCATCCACCGGACTGCAGGCTCAGCGGGAACAAGGGCCGCCTTCTTGCTCTCGGTTAGGGCCAAGTACCTAGCACAGAGCCCGCACAGGGAGGGCAGTAAGCATTGGCCAGAGGGGGACGCGGAAAAGATCGAGTGTATAGGACGCAGAATGAAGTAAATACCGGCTCTCAGCACCTTATTCCTATTTTCGGTGCCTCTAGTATCGTTAATGGGAATAACCCGTGCTCTCGGCCAAGGCCAGCACAGCTGAACATAGGACGCATCTGTCCGAGGGGACGCGCGCGGGATCGCCCATCTCAGCTCCGGGTCACTCGAACCTGGAGCTGTTGGCCCACCCTAAACTCCCTTCGTTGGATTTCAGCTACAAAAAAATGGCCGGAAGAGGAAAGAAGGGGTAATGCTTTCTCGGCCCTTATCACGGTGGCCGGCCCCGAACTTGGCGTGGTGCTTCCCATCCTGGGTGCAAGGCGGGCTCGGAACCGCCAAGCCCGTAAAGACAAAGGCTGGGAACCGCGGGCTCCACACGGGTCCCTGAGCCCCTCATTGGCGAATGGAGAACAGAGAGAGGCTGCGGCAGCCACGCCTGCAGGCGCCGTGCACTGCGGCTCGGAGGGTCGCGGCCTGGAGAGGTGCGGAGGGAAACACGCTGCCAGCAACCGGCCCAGCGCGCGCTCGAAGCATCCCGACATCGGCTCATCCCAGCCGCACGCCCCGCGCATCCCAGCCTCGGCTCAGCCCGCCGCGCGCCCCGCGCATCCCTGCCTCGGCTCAGCCCGCCGCGCGCCCCGCGCATCCCGGCCTCGGTTCACCCCACCGCGCGCCCTGCGTATCCCGGCCGGGCTCAGCCCCGCCGCGCGCTCCATGCCTCCTGGCCTCGGCTCACCCCGGCCTCGCGCCCCGTGCATCCAGGCCTCGGCCCACCCCGGCCGCGAGCCCCGCGCTTTCCGGCCTTGGCTCACCCCGGCCGCGCGCTCCTCGGCGGAGCCGGGCGCAGCAGGCAGCTGGGGCGGCGAAGGGGATCCAGACCCGGGTGGAGCGGCGCGTGCAGGCAGGGCCGCGGAGGCGTGCAAGAAGAGCTGGCCTTTCTTCCAGAGCGCAAGATGCAGCTTGCTTTGCCAGGCAAGTCGTGGCAGGAAAGGACAGACTGCACAGGCTGCGGGCCGCCAGCCTCGGGCCCCCCACCCCCCTCCCGCCCCCGGCCCCGCGCTCGGTCTGCGGCCTCTTCCCTCCCAGTCCCGTCTCCTCTGGCAGCTGGGCGGGACCCGGCAAGCCGAGACCGCTGCGCCAAAACGCGCTCGGCCAATCGGGCTGCCCCACGGACACGTGGTGCCCGGCGCTCCCTGTTGCTGGCTGGGGATGCGCTCCCGGAGAAGGTTTTCCAGAGGGAAACCAGATTCTTTGCTCAGCTGTGCTGCTCTTGGCCTTCAGCTGGCTGTTTTCCTACTGGAGCTTTAAGAGAATTCTCTCTCAAGGAGTGTTGGTATTAGTGGCCGAAGGGTACAGGCAAAAAGGATTTACTTCCTGAAGGTACCTAATGCCGCTTTGCATTGACAATAACCTGAACCAGATGTGGGAAGGTTATCTTTTGCCTAATTCCACAAGCATTTAAATCGGTGCTCCCGCGCCCCTCACCATTACGCTTACACAGAAGGCTGTTTAGGACTAAAGACGTGGATTTCTGTTAGTGAGAAGTTCAATCGTGTTATTTATTGTAGGTTGGCAATAATCTATTTTCTGCTGATCTAAAATTAGAACAAGTCATCTGAAATTGAGAAAATACTCTGTTTTTGAATGAGTAATCTAGAAATTGTGCTTATGTACGTGTGAGTATGTATGTATGTATGTATGTATGTATGTATGTATATACATATACACGTACATATACATACGTACGTACATACATACATACATATATACATTTGGTGGAGCTTCCGGATTAAAACAAGCATGGAAGCAGGAGTGGCATCCACTTCCGAAATGAGTTGCCTCCGGAAACTCTATAAACAGTGCTCAGGTCTTTCGTTCATAGGGTTGCTATGACTCGTCTACGAGATATATATATATCTCCCTTTTAGCAATTATGAGGTTGACCCAGGTTAGGAAATCTGACTGCATCGTTTCTAAAATAATAGTCTCTGCTGCAGGAAAATAGTTATTAAATTTGAAAAAAGTACTGATATTTTTAAAAATACTGGCTAATAACATGCTCTTGAACAGTAGTTACCATGTGCCTCTTTCATAAATAAATAGACCTTCTACTTAAGCACAAGGCTTCAAACATTGTAACAGAGCAATACATCTTTTTAATCCTTCCCTTTTGTTTGTGCTTGGAAATCCATGTGTTTTGGGACAACCCTGATGGAGCTTAATATTTTTTTTTTTAATTTGAAGGATAAGCCAAGATCCTTAAGAAAATTCATTAAGAGGTAAAGATTGACAGATGGAATTTTCAGGAAGCATGCAGTAGTGCCATTGCTCTGCAGAATCTATCCTTGTAGCTCTTTGTGGAATGTGAGCACATGAGGGGATGGGTCAGGTTCACCCAAATTCTCCGTGGAGCATCTTTTGTTTGTAATTCTTGTGTACTGTGAAGTTGGAACCCACTTGTGGTTGACTCTCCAGCGGGTTTTCAGAGGCAGCAAATTACAGAGGAGGAGAGATTGCTTTTGCGCTCTGGTGGCTTAGAGGTAAGGAGTTGTGCTTCCAACCCAAAGCCACTTGGTTCTAATCCAGCAATGGTTCTACTGCAGAAACATGGACAATTTCCTTCTGTGCAATTTAATGAGAATCTGCTGTTAGGTGCTGGTGAGTCCAGTACGACTTACAGTGATCCTATGAACAACACAGCTGAACCTTGACCTATCCTTTGCCATCCTCATCATTTCTGACGTGCTCGATCCCATTGTTATGGTCACTGTCTCAATTAATTTCATTAAGGGTTGTCTTCTCTTTCATGGAGCCTCCCTCTTTCAAAGTGTGACGTCCCTCTCCAAAGAATGGCTCTCCCTAACAACATGCCAAAAGTATGTGAGACGAAGCTTTATCATCTTCTGCCTCCAAGGAGCACTCTGGCTGCACTTGTTCTAAGATATATCAGTTTGCTCTTTTGGCAGTCCATGGGACACTCAGCACTCTTATCCAACATCACAACTCGAAGGCATCAATCTTTCTTCAATCAATCTTCCTTTCTCATTGTCCAGATCTTAGATGCATAAACAGGTGATTGAAAAAGGCCATGGCTTGAATCAGGCACACCTCAGTCCTTAACATGATATCATTGCTCCTCGGGACTTTGGAGAGGTCCCTGACAGCAGACTTTCCCATTATATTATGTCTTTTGATTTCTTTACTGCAGTTACTGATGGTGATGATTGTGGATCCAAGCAATTAAGTCATTGTATGTCCATATATCAAGGAGCTATGCGTGTGTATATATGTTGTTGTTGTTTGATGGAACTGACCTGTCGCTGAATCTCCAGTGGGCTTTCAGAGGCAGTTAATCTCATGAGAGGAGACTGACCGTCTTTCTCGTGTGGAGCAGCTGGTGGATACAAACCACATGCCTTTGGGATTGCAGTGCAGCTTCTTACCACTGGGACACCAGAGTGTATACATCTGTGTGTGTGTGTATGTGTGAGTGATTGTGTGTGTGCATATATAAATATGTATGTATGTATACAGAAAGTTTTGCTGGTGTAGTGGGTAGAGAGTCACACTGATAACCCAAATGTGGAGTCTCTCTGGTAATTTGAATCTACCAGCTGCTTCGTGAG